TGACTTCATCAAACATAGTTTTGGATGTTATGAAAATCTTTAAGCACATTTATTTCAAAGTGAATTATTGGCTTCAAGCATTTAAAAATACCACCAGTGTTGACATATTGTGATAATATATTGTGAATTTAAGTCTTTAGACATTTTTTACATATTTGATCAATATTTTTAGTTTGTAGTACAGATTTATATTGTGAATATAACTGGTCAGCAATTTTCTTACATGTAAATTATATCTGTTTAAAGATGGCACACCTTCCAAATGTGTAAAATTTGGTAGTCTTTTTCTGAATGACTGTATATCGTAAGAATGAGTGTTTTCTGATGTAGTGATGAATAAAAAAAAGTTCAAACTCATAAACTTCCACATGTAGTTCCTAGGTAGATGGAGAAAGTATTGGGGCTATAAATTATTTGAAACATTCTTTCTTTGAACTAGAACAATATGGTTTTATTGCTTAAAATGTTAAGTTTACTAAAATAACTTTATATTTAAATCAGGATAATGTATATTTGATTTTATGAGCATGTCTGCTTTGCTCACTGTTGAATCTCTAATTCTTACACAGTGTTATATATTATTACCATTAAGAATTCATTTAATAGTCAATCATTTAAAAAATCCATTGGGAAAAGATCTACAGGCATTTTTTGCCAATTGTTTGTACACTTAATATTAGTGTAAAAATTTAGAAGAATTTAGAGCAAGGAAATATTCACTTGAATCAACATATCTCAGTATACTTAATGTTGAGCAGTTAGCTGATAAGCTAGTTTGGATCTGATTTTCAGGATAGAATACTTTTGAGGCTGTCTTAGGTCCTTCATTTTCCACAAGGCAGTTCTTGATGGTAGATCAATTAGCAAATCCTGAAGAATTAATTTAAATGGTGTGGTAATTCCTGTCATTAAAGATACTTCTTAGAACTCTTGAAATTCCTCCTTCCCCCAGGGTATCAAATCAATTGAATAGAGGAAGTAGCCAGCAGCAGTCTTGTATATGAGTCTAGTTCAAAATTGTTATATTGGAACATGATTTACAAATGCTCTGAGAAAGGCTGAATTAAACTTGGACTTTGGAATTAAAAAGAAAACAGAAAACACTGTAAAATAAGGGTTAATGTTTTCTAAAGTGTTTAAAAAAATACCTGTTAGAGAGCTTTAGGAAGACTTTTTAAGACTGTCTTCTTGAAGTGCAGATCCTTGAAGACAGATTTTTATTATTTTACTGCATTCACAGTGAATTAGGTAATTAATTATCCTCAGGTCTGAGGATTAAAGCTGTTACTATTTTTGAATAACTATTAAGAAAAGAGTAATTTTTATAATTTTACACATGCTTTGTGTGTTAGCCTTTTCTAGTGTAAAATGAATCTTCCATATGCTCTATGATTGGTGACAAATAAGAAACTCTGTGCAATTAAGAGAAGATCTGTTTATTTAAGAGCTCTCAAAGGTTGTAAAAGATTATAGTTGGCTATATGTGAAGGATAAATGTTGTGAAATAATGCCCCTTAGTTCCCCCTTTTATAATAAATCTCAGCTGTGTGTTCGGCACAAGGGCTGAGTGCCAAAAAGAACAGGTTCAACTTGTCTGTGAGGATTTGCACCACAGTGAAGTGCACAACTGCTTTGGTAGAGGTCATTGTGGAGGTCACAGGCATGTACAGTCGAATGAAAGCAACTTTAAAACCTGGCAGAACAGATAGTGTTACTTGAGTTTCAAGCATTGAAAGGATGAAAAATCATTGAAAGAAACTTTCAGTACAGTTTTCATTTTGTATGTTTGTGTGCATTTAAATGGATTTAAAATAATTTGGCAACTTGTACCATAATATTTTTAAAAACCTCCAGAATCATTTTTATAATAATTGCTCAGATGTGGAAACATTGTTTTGGGATTTATCAAATTCTAAAGTGTTCTGACCAGTGTTCATATAATGAAAGTAGGATATGATATGATGGTGGTAGGAAAAATGTATGGAGTGTGTGCTGGGGCGATGGCTGGGGAGTGTGGATGAATTCTAACGAAAGGGCAGATAGGATCTGAAGCAGAATTCCTGTAGAAAGCCTGTTTCTCCTGAGCTTATGATAAAATGTTTCAAAATTTAACAAAGAAAATGCCATTTAATATTTCCATAGTATTTCCCCCCAACTATCTCAGAAGTTCTTCGCGATAAATAGTGATAACTCATAAACTCCCGGGTGGAGTGACTATGAGACCTGTGACTCCAGGCAGTCAGCTTTGAGTTTAATACAAAGAGCTCCAGAAAGTGATGTATGTAAGTAAGTAGCTGCCAAACTCATCTAGAGTTGTGTTTGACCTTGAAAGTTGTATTTGATGGCCTGTTTCGTTTCTTTGGTGACTTTTTTAAGCTAGTGATCATGGCAGAGTGACAGGCAGCCATTGGTTTCAGTCTGGAGATTAATTTGTAATCTTTTGAATGTGCTCCAGCAGAAGGCAGCACCTGTCTCAGCAGCTGGTAGAATGCTAGCACTTCCATCAAGCCTGTGCTTTCCAGAATGGCTTCAAAGCTTTGTTCATTAAGCTCGCTCATATAAATTGCTTTCTTTGTCCTGTGGGGCACTGTTTTACTGCAGGTAACTCTCTTATGCTGTTTGTTTACGAGAGGGTGGTGTAAGATAATGTTAGTTCTAAAAACTGAAACAAATGACATGACAGCCTTCTTGTGTATGCGGGGTCACCGCTTGGCTCAGTAATGACACGTATACAGATGTTCCCAGGTGCGGAGTCTGCAAAGGGTTGTGATTGCTCTGCACTGCGTTTGGAATTCATATCATAAGCATAAACCGTATCAGGAAGGATGGGCAGTTATAGTGAAATCAGACTTGAGGGACTAATGAAGTGTAGTCAGTTTTCTAGATGAATAGTTCTACATTGCTAAGAATTACTCTTTTTAGTTGAAATAGTCTTTTTAGCCCAAATTTTAAAGTGTATGTAGTTGATGTTGACGTACAGGCAAGCCATTTATTTGTATGTCATTTGAAGAAAATTATTTTTGCTTGTTATTAAAAGAAGACCCAGTTTCTAAGAGAGTATAAAAAGAATCAAGTACGTATTTCAGTGCAAATAAAATTTTAATCAGTCTAAATGTGTTATGGAAAAGTTGAAGCTAAATTTTTTCTATACTTTTTTTATTTAAGAGCCAGAGAGACATACACCCAGATACCCCAAATACTGGAAGTGACTGGGCCTAGGCAGGGGGCTTAAGCTGTGAGCCAAATCCAGGAGCCAGGAGCTCAGTCCAGGTTTCCCATGTGGGTAACAGAAACCCAAACACTGCAGCCATCATTGCTGCCCCCCAAGAGCCTGAATTAGCAAGAAACTTGAGTTAGGATTCCCAATTGGCAAATGAATCAGGTACTCTGATCTGTGAAGGTGGACATCTTAACTACCAGACTACACACCTACCTGCTCCTTTGAATAAAACTTTTTGCTAAAAATAAATTGATATGTGTTAATGGACTAGGTAGTAACTTCCATTTATAAAGCACCTATATAAAATATTTTAAAAATAAATCAGTACTTATAAATTCGTAAGTATAAATTCAAATATGTGTTTTTAAGTGCTTGAAAGTAGAGTCAGTTCTAGTAGTATACTTTCTATTAGACCTCACAGTGCCTAACATCCACTAAATTTTTAATAAATGAATTCTGTAGTTCTGTATTAGAATAGTACATAGTGGGGCCAGCTCTGTGGAGCAGTAGGTTAATCCTCCGCCTACGGTGCTGGCGTCCCATATGGGCGCTGGTTCTAGTCTCGGCTGCCCCTCTTCCAGTCCAGCTCTCTGCTATGGCCTGGGAAAGAGGTAGAAGAAGGCCCAAGTCCTTGGGCCCCTGCACCCATGTGGGAGACCCGGAAGAAGCTCCTAGCTTGTGGCTCCCGATTGGTGCAGCTCCGGCCATTGCAGCCATCTGGGGAGTGAACCAATGGAAGGAAGACCCCTCTGTCTCTCCCTCTCACTGTTTGTAACTCTACCTCTCAAATAAATAAATAAATAAATAATCTTAAAAAAAAAAAGTATAGTACATGGTGGACTCTTGATAGAACAGGGTTTAAAACTTGGAAAGGTTACTTGCCTTTAGAGAGCTTCAGTTTTTTTTTCCTGTGGAATAGGTAAGATATACCTGCTTCATAGAGTAAGTATTCAGTAAGTATTTCTGTGTCCTTTTAGTGGATCTGAACTATTAGTAATCATATTATTATTATTTTTAATTTATTTGACAGGTAGAGTTATAGACAATGAGAGAGACTGAGAAAGATCTTCCTTCCATTGGTTCACTCCCCAAAAAGCCATTACGGCCAGTGCTGCGCTGATCCGAAACCAGGTGCCTCTTCCTGGTCTCCCATAAGAGTGCAGGGGCCCAAGCACTTGGGCCATCCTCCACTGCCCTCCTGGGCCACAGCAGAGAGCTGGACTGGAAGAGGAGCAACCAGGATTAGAACCTGGCTCCCATAAAGGGATGCCGGCGCCGCAGGCCGAGGATTAACAAGTGAGCCACGGCACTGGCCCCCAGTAATCATATTCTATATCTAAATGCCTTTAGTAAAATACACTTTCTACAAAATTTCCAATTAAGAGGAAATAAGTATCCTAAAAATGTTCTATTTTCTTTTGCGTATTAGATCTAGATCTAGCTGCATCATAGTTTTGTGAGTGTGGTAGTTGTTTGTATGTGTTTGGTTTAGTGAAAGCAAAATGGAATGGTAAAGGCATTCATAGTATTCGTAGTTTTTAGTGGAGAAAAAAATATAAAGTCAGTTACAACCTGGCTTAGCTCCTCCTTTGTTTTCTACAATCGGAATGGTATAGTAACTATTCATTCTGCAGTTAAATAACCTCAAATAGAGCCAGGAGATTTGGGTTAGGTAGTTTTTTGAGAGGAGAGGAGAGGGTGGAAGGTAGGAAGAATCATTATAAAAACACATTTGTTCATTCATTAAACAAACATTCTTAATAGAAACCAAGCACCTTACTAGGCATGGATGATTCAAATCCGAGGAAGCAATGAGCTCTTCAATTATTCAGTCTCTGTAATGATATAGAGAGGTTTTCTGTTATCCACTGAAAATATTTTTTTGCTTAAAAGACTGTTCATTTTACATCATATTCTTGTTTTGCCTACATAATGATAATATTTGTTAGAGAACTTTATTTAAAGGAATTTTTATATTTTATTACATTCAGAAATTTAGATTTTATACATAACTTACCATTTTTGTTGGTTATGTGAACTAAAAGTTCACATATAGTGCCAATGTAGGAATACTTTCTTGGAAATTATTTTTGTAATTACTAAAACAAAATGAGCTAAATGCTATATGCTTGAAAAGCTGCTTTTAAAATTTCTGATAAACATTGTTTCTCAAAATTAACACAGATTCTTTTTAAAGAAACAGGTTTTGTCTCACCAAATGGTCTCCTTGATGTTTTTCTTTTCTGATCTTTTTATAGAAACAGATATGATTTGCTGGACACTATGTTCTCTTGGCAACAAATGACAGTTCAGTAGCAAGACAAGCATCAGAGAAAGAATGTAAAAATAATCCTTTTCAACACTATGTCGTTTTTTAGTGCCCAAGGAAAAATAAAACCCAGAGCAACAGAAACGAAACAAAATAAATAAAATCTCTTCCTTGAACCCTACCTTTCCTTTAAGCTGTTGCCTTATCTTCCTCTTATCTTCTAATTTAAGAAAACAGTCATCATGCTTGCTTAGTGTTCTTCCTCCTCCCAGGCGTTGTCCTTTGTGTTCTGTCTTCTGTTCTCACTGCTGAGCTGACAGTGCGCATGCCGGTGCCATTCCCTTCCCTGGAAAGGTTCTTTTCCCTTTGTTTCAGTCCCACTCAGCCGTCAGAACCTCTCTCAAATGCCATTTCTTCCATGGATTCTACTGAAGGGACACTGAAATGCCTGTCATATTCAGTGGAGTCATACCACACGTTAACTTGCATTCAACTGAAGTTGAAAACGACACCAAACCTGGAGGGTGGGGGAGGAGAATTAAAGAATGCCTCTCTTACCCCAATAAAAAAATTTTTTTGAAACAATTTGAATGCCCAATGCAAGCCAACTAGTTTATCTGATTTTCCACAGAAGAAACAAGAATCTGTTCCAAAGCTAGAGGAAAGGTTTTTTTGAGTTGGATTGATAAAAGGAGCTTCAAATATGCACACTGATGGCGATTTAAGGGAGATTTTGACAGTTTTTCTGCCTCTCTGACTCCAGCACCCAATCCCTGCGACTTTGTTGTATGACTTTGTGGAACTCAGTCACCTCACTTAGGATTCTTCTGGGTGATACTTAGCTCCTTCCTGAATGTTTTAGAACTATCTAAGTAGAGATGACTAGCTTAATTCCTATTCTGTCTTTGTTTTTGTATTTTTGAGATAAAGAGATAAATTTGTAGGAATACAATTACATGGAAACATGTTAAAGCAGAGGGCAGCAATATGTGTCTTCTGTATGTTGTGTTCCCCTGTATTTTGAGACCATGCTTTTGCATGTGACCACAAATATATGTATATTTTTACAGTGAGTGTGTGAACCATACTATATTTTAGCCAATACAAAGCAATTTATGGGAATACTTTTTAAATCTCCATTGTTTGGTTGTAGTTACATTATCTGAGAAGCTTAATGTCATTATTTTTTCATAGCAGTCCCTTAATGGTAGATACCATCTCCTATTTTTTTCAACCTTTTTAATTTCTAAATATAATACTCTTTAATTTTGAAGTTTTTTCTCAAGGAATAATTCATACATTGGTAGAACAATAAAAGTCCAAAAATAGAATTTAAATATTATTAAAGAATTTTTTTATGTAATTTGAACATTAAATGGTGTGTATTTTGGGGATGAGATTGCAAATGAATTTGATTAACAAATCTTTAGTGTCATTCCACTGGACTGAACAGAACTGGATGTAGTTTCCAGGCCCCATTTGCTGGAAACATTTTTGGGCACTTGGCTTGGCTGAGTGAGGGTTTAGCTCTTTAGGGCTGTTTGATTTCTAATGATGAACAAGAAGCTTAAGCCCCAACTAGATAGGGAAATTCTCCTTTGATGTTTTGGAGCATAGTTTATATATTTGAATGGAACTAAACATTGCCTAGGAGCTAAAAAATTATGTTGCACTTCCCAGTACATGTAGGATGAAACCTCTTTCATATGTTGGAAAAGCCCCCCCCCCCTTTTTTTAATGAAGACGGATTTGGGGAAAGATTGGTAATCTGTTAGGCACTACATTTCAAAAGACAACAAGTGCTCATAAAGGCTGATTAATAGGAGTAAGTAATCACTGTGATGATTTTTTTTTTTTTAGCAATTTTTCAAAAGTTACATTCTTCTTATTCCAGAACACACATCCAGAAGGAGAACGTAGTCTAATGAGTCTGGTAAAGAGCTGGGAATTCAGGAATTAGTGCTTATATGCTTTTCCCTCCCCATAGCTATTTCTCTAGTATTTATAGAAGGAAACTATTCTACATAAAATTTGAAGAAAATCCTATGTGTTTTTGTGATACATTGTGAGGCAGTGCTTTATTTCCACTTGGTGGTCATGAACTCGTAGCAGGTTAGACCTGCTGGTCCGGTCTCCCCACTCGCTTCCCCCTCTCCCCTGCCCTCCTTGCAGATAATGAAAATGGAGCTTAGAGAAATGAAATATTTTACCTCAGTTCTTTCTAGTTTAGTGGCAGTGCCAGCATGAGTACATTGTTTTCTCTTAACATGTACGGTCTTGTTCCTCATTTGTCCTTTTACTGCTTACTGTAAATTTTGAAAGAAAGTAGAGAAAGCCACTGGGGGGGGGGAGATGAAGTGTACTTACTGTGAAATTATGTGCTACCAGGAAGTGATTACCATGCAGCTGTTCAGTGATGACAAGTTGACATCACCCTGGAGTGACCGGAACAGCATTGTGTAAAAATTGCTCTGCTTGTTCCTAAAATAAATTTAAAATAACCGAATTATTAAAGAAATGTTACTTAGAATAAGCAGCTTATGGACTATGGCATTCATTAAGATCTTTATCCCATTAAAAATTATGTGTGAGCACCCAACACATCAGCACAATTAAAATATATGTACAAATAGATACATTATACATATGTATGTATATATATAGTATATATATATATATAAAACACATTCAAACACACGTATTTAATTATTAGGAAGTTACCAAAATCCAAAGAGTATTTCTGAACATCCCTATCTGATTTCTCTAAAAGGCTTCCTGTAGATATTCCTCTGGAAATAGTCTCTAGAATTTTAGTAATTTAATACTGTAAATGTGAACTATATTGGTGTCTGATGGCATTTAGCAATATGACATACATTTTATGGAATTTCGTAAATTTAACATTGTGAGGTGACCTAGTTTTTAGAAAATACTACCACTACTACATTATTTTTCTTTTTTCTTTTCTCTGTTTCTTCCTTACATTTTGGTAGTCAGTGACCCTAAGAAATTAAGTAGAAGGCACAGTCTCATTGTAATATGGTTTGGCAGAATGTAAGCTCCCTGAGGGTGGGGCTTCTCTTTTTTTCTGTTCACTGCTGTTCTTTTCAGCTCTTGGCATATAGTAGGTGCTCAATAATACTTGCTGTTTAAAAGCATGATGAATGCCACGGCGTAAGCATGTTTTTTTATTACCTGGAATTTCATTAAAATGAGTACTTCCATGGTTAGAAAGTACATTCTCAGCCTAGGAATGAAAAGCAGCCGCTGGTTTTAATGACTAATTGAAAGAAAAGAAATATTGAAGTCTAGAGAAGATGGAGATTTACTCCTTGCATACTCCTAATAGTACAAGCAATTAACAAAATTCCAATTGTTTATACTTAATAAGGGCTTTCTTAGGTTGATTGAATCTGGAAACCTGATCATTCACTGGTGCTGCAGCATTGGGTCTACTACATCAGGTGACTGCTTACATGTGCTGTTATGTTATTCACTGATAAAGCAAAACGTGGAGCAGCTCTTTGGTGGAAGACCTTGTGCTGTAAAGCGTGAGGCTCTATGTGAACATAGAGCCTTGTGGGGGAGACAGATGCTAAACAGATAATTACACAAAAGCAGTTTGACAAGCTCACAAGGTTCATGTGTTGAGGATGAGGCTACCCTGGTGATGAATCATTAGGTAAGTTAGAAAGATTGAGTTGTGAATTTAAAATTGTGTTAAACCATTTCCAGCATTATTTAACCTATCAGCCTAAATTATTACTACTTTATGAATTAGTTTCTTCTGTGATCCATAGCAGAAAAGTATATACTGATCGTAATGGAAATGTATTCTACTTTGTATTTCAACAACATATACACTAATGATACTAAATGTCTATTTTTCATTGCTGTTATTTTATTAGGTAAAATATAATGTAATTTTCTCAGTAATATGGTTTCCTGTGTGTGTGTTTGTGTATGTATTTTGACATAGCCTGTGTTTAGAGTTAGCACAGAGGTGGTCTTTGCTCTTCCTTTATTTCAGGAGCATAACATTTGTAGTATGTAGGTTATCTAACTGATAAGTCTCAGTAAATTGTAAACTGTTTTTTGTATTAGCCTTTAAGCTTTCTAGGAAAAGTTAAACTATGTAGCCTAGGGGTGGGTGTTTGGAATAGGAGTTAGTATTCTATGTCTCACATCAGAGTGCCTGAGTTCGATTTCTGCCTCTGGCTTCTAAACCCAGCTTCTTGCTAATGTAGACCCTGGGGGGCGGCAGTGATGGCACAGTGGTCCGCTTCCTGCCACCCTAGATCTGGTTTGAATTCCCTGCTCTGTTGCTGGGGCCAGGGGAGTGGGGGCTCGGGGGTGGAGGGTGCATGGGGAATTGAGGATATTTGGGAAATGAACCAACAGGGAATGTGGGCTTTTTCTCTATCTCTCTGCCTCTCAAAAATTTTTTAAAACATATTGTTCATGTATAAATGCTTTTGTCAATCTTTCCATTGTTTTTCAAATATTTCTATGATTTTCTATGTGGAAACTAGTTGAATTGTAGAAACTTTCCACATATGCTTATGTTTTTGACTAGCAAATGATTGAAATATAATCTAGGAGTCTAAGCTGTGTCGTAGAGGCTCAGTTTTGTTATATCTGAGGGCAGTAAAAACATTAATTACACTATTGAGTGTACATTTGAGACTGGTTGTTACCCAAGTTTGCATGATTTTCTATGGCTCTTGCTGCATTTTTACTTCCAAAACCTCATTTATTTTTGATTTACATAGAAACAGTAACAAAACTGGAAAGGGTCTCAGTTTTGTGTTACGTATTTTTGAATGTCAATAAAATTTGCTTGAATTATTTAATGTAGGTATTTTTTGAGACAGTGCTAAGACCTCATTGTTTACACATTCCACTCCCCCTCTTACTTTTAGTTTTATGACTTTGCCTATTATTTTGAGGCTGATGATGGAAAAATTTCTCTTCAGTTTAATTTCTAGCTGCCTTTACTGAACATGTATTTCTTCCTGGGTTTTTCAGTCAGCAACATCTTATTGATCTGGATGACGATCATAAATTTTTGTGTGTGTTTAACAGCTTTATTGAGGTATTATTTACTTACTATAAAATTACTCATTTTTTATGTGTTTTTTAGTAAGGGCTTTTGTTTATTTTTAATATAATTTAATGTTTGTTTATTTTCATCTGCTTGGAAGACAGAGACATACCTACCTGCCTACCTACCTATCTACCTGTGTTTCTTTCTGCTGCCTTACTCCTCAAAATGCTGGCAGCAGCCAAGGCTAGGCCAGGCCAAAACCAGGAACCCAGAACTCCATCTGGGTCTTCCACATTGGTGGCAGGGATCCAAGTAATTGGACTATCATCTGCTGTCTCCCAGGATACAATTGCAAGAAGCTGGATTGGAAGTTGAGTAGCTGTTACTCAAACTGACCCTATTTTATTTGAAAGTCAGACAGAAAGAGAGAGAGGTCTTCCATCTGTTGGTTTACTCCCAAAATGCCTATAACAGTTGGGACCGAGTCAGGCTGAAACCAGGAGTCTTCCACATGAGTGGCAGGGACCTAAGTACTTGAGCTCTCACCTGCTGTCTTCCAGTGAAAGTTAGCAGGAAGCTGGATGCAAAATGGAGCTAAGAATTGAACCTACACAGTACAGTGTACAAAGTGGGGCATTTCAAATGCCTTCTTAACTGATATGTCACATGTACACTCCAGTGAATT